TATATATATATATATATATATATATATTGATATATATACATATATGATATGGGCTTAGATAAATATATATATTAATATTATTTGCATTTTATATCTTATACATATTAGACAGGGTTATATAGGCATATATATATAGTTATACAGATATATAAACATCTGTATATTATATATATTATATTTACGATACATGATTATATCTGTACTTATATAAATATTTGTACAAATAGATAATATACAGGGTTATCTATGCAATATACACACATATATATATGTATATATACAAATATAAATATATATAAATAAATATATATATATATATATATTACAATTATTAAATATACTGGTAATTAAGCGCAGCAATAAATAGACGACAGACAAAGAGACAGAAGCAAATAAAACAAATAAAACAAATAAAACAAATAAAACAAATAAAACAAATAAAACAAATAAAACAAACCAAGAGAAAGGGCACAGTAATAAGCAGATGCCGGATCCTGATGAAGAAACTCAACCTCATTAGAGTCAGACGAAACCCCCTTAGGCACTCGCAACTATAACGCACACAACACAACAAACCCTAAACCCTAAACCCTAAACCCTAAACCCTAAACTCTAAACAGAAGACGCCTCGAGAGCAAGCAAGAAACCTCTTATCAGCACACCAACCCTAAGCCAACACCCCTTTGTGGTCATACCAAACCCTAAACCCTAAACCCTAAACCCTAAACCTTAAACCTTAAACCCTAGACCCTAAACCCTAAACCCTGAATCCAAACCTTGAGTTCTGACTGAAGGACATTAGGGTTAGTAGAGAAGATGAGTTGTCGCATTAATCTCTGATGTTCACTGTCTTTATCTTTTTTAATATGGTTTGTCTTGCGGTGTCTTCCTCTTGCTGAAGACGAGGGGGCCCCCTGGGGGCCCCCCCCTTGGGGGCCCCCCCCTTGGGGGCCCCCAGCTAAGAAACCTGAATTGTCTCGAACATCACGAACAAGAATGCAGCCTCCTGAGGGAGTCTTCTGCTGCAGCAATACCTTTAAGACGGGAGCGCTGTCTCCTAATGTTAATATAGGAATAGGGTCCTGAAGAAAGATATGGACATATATAAAAGAAGATGAAGAGACAGATGAAGAGACAGATAAAAAAATAGTAAAGAAGACGGTTTATAATTATTGTTGTAATTATATTATAAGGCGGGAGTTGCTGCTGTCTCTGCTTGTTTTTTTTATGTTTATTTTTTTCTCGCTCTCTCTGTCTCTCTCTTTGTTTATCTGTCTCCTTTCACTTTATCGTCTCTCTTTGCTGTCTCTCTTTATATTTATAAATATAAATATTAATTATAAATAGACACGCAGTCAAATGGGATGCCTAAACCCTAAACCCTAAACCTTAAACCCTACGCCCTAACGCCAAACCGCTAACCCCCAAAACCCTAAACCCTAATCCCTAAACCCAAAACCCAAAACCCTAAACCCTAAACCCTCACATCAGGCGAGAGTGCAAATTCTCTCAAAAGAGGGCCCAGGGTTGTTTGAGCTTTCTCTATTATTTGTCGCCAGCGAGATAAAGAATAATTATTTTCTTCTGCTCCTTCAAACCCTAGAGGGAAGGTAACGATAATTAAACGAGACACCTCCAGCTGATCCGCAATCTGCGAGGTGTACGGACACCCCACACAAACCCTAAACCCTAAACCCTAAACCCTAAACCCTAAACCCTAAAAACTAAACCCTAAAAACTAAACCGAAACGCACATAGTCCAAACCAAAAAGCCTAAAACCCAAACCGTAAACGCCAAACCCTAAACCCTAAACCCTAAACCCTAAACCCTAAAATGCAAACCATAAACCCCAAGGCCCACCCGCTAAACCCCAGTCCCTGACCCATAACATCCCAATCCCAAGCCCTAAACCCTAAACCCTAAACCCTAGACCCTGACTTGTTGGTTTCCTTCTGCAGAGCTGAATGTCCAGCAGAGTTCCTGCCCTGGGGGTACGAGGACAGCAGCAGTATTGTTTTGTTTTGTTTGTTTGTTATTTAATTCTTTTTGTTTATTCTTGGAGTCATAGACAACCAAACTGCACCGCGAAAAACAGCCTGCTGCTCCCCCCACATTCACCAGCAGTCTCTGTCCTGGGGTCTTTGCATGCGAGAGCATAAACCCTAAAACCCTGCTGCGGCAAGCGCTTAACCTCTCTGCAAATAATAAAGATATACAAATAAACCATCAAAACCATCAAACCCTAAACCCTAAACCCTAAACATCCATGCAAAAATACACACGCACATATACAATACAAACCCTAAACCCTAAACCCTAAACCCTAAACATTCATGCAAAAAGGCACACACACATATGCAATGCAAACCCTAAACCCTAAACCCTAAACCCTAAACCCTTAACTCACTCGTCAACTCCCATAAGGGAAAAGATTCAGGGCCGCTTCCTGCCGTTCCCGCCAGCTTGCATATGGGTCTGCGCACGCAAACCCTAAACCCTAAACCCTAAACCCTAAACCCTAAACCCTAAACCCGTTAGGGCGGAACCCTAGGGCCCCGCAAAACCGCTGAAGCTTGCATTTGCGGGTTTAGTAAGGTTTGTTTGTTTGCATATGATTTGCTATTTTATGAGGTGTACGTACACCTGAGTTTTAGTTTTGTCGCCGTTTTCTTCTCCCTCTACTTCTACCTTGGGGGCCCCCTTTTTAATACAAAATAGAAAGGGTTGTAATCGCGAGAAGGGGGCCCCCCGACTGATTTCTTCTTTTGATGGGCAGCAGAATATCTCTATTGATACTGGTCGCCGCAAGAAGAAACGCACCTGCATATACACCCCAAACCCTAAACCCTAAACCCTAAACCCTTGATAACCCACACAGCCATATGCCTTCACAGAAACAGCAAAGCACTTGTGTGTGCCAACCCATCCTCCATATAAACCCTAAACCCTAAACCCTAAACCCTAAACCCTAAACCCTAAACCCTAATGCGTACGAATTCCTTCAAGATATAATCTTGTGCGAGGGATATAAGAACAAAAGAACCTCCTTCCTTTAAAACATCAAAGACAGCTTCAAAATATTCTTCTGCAGCCTTTCGGTAATCATATGATGACTCCTGGGGGCCCTCAGTGGGGGCCCCTGTACCCTTATTTGGGGCCCCAGTGGGGGCCCCTGTACCCTTATTGGGGGCCCCTAGGGGGCCCCCCTGTTCTACATGATCATCTTCATGATCTATAGAGATATATGCATCAAGAAAACCCTTATCAAATACTAAATCAAAGGGGGGGGCCCCTGAGGGTCCCCCTGATGAAGGGGGCCCCTTTAAGAAGGCTTTCTGAAGGCCTCTACCTCTAATATCTAAGCAATGCCACTCAATAGTAGAGAGATGTGAATGTGTTTTCTTCATTTCTTCAATAACAACCGGAGAGAAATCGACATTAACTATTCGGGTGTATCTGCAGGACAATACGCAAAAAGAAATGAAGAAAAATAATAATCAATAGCTGCAGATACACCTCAAGAATAAACAATAGCTGCAGATACACCTCAAGAAAAAGAATAAACAATAGCTGCAGGTACACCGCAAGAAGAAGAATAAATAAATGCAGATACAGTGCAAGAAGAAGAATAAACAATAGCTACAGGCATACAGCATAAAAAGAAGAATAAACAATAGCTGCAGATACACCGCAAAAGAAGAATATGCAGTAGCTGCAGATACACCGCAGGAAGAATCAGCAAGCAACAGCTGCAGATACACAGCATAAAAAGAAAAATAAACAATAAATGCAGATACACCTCGAGAAGAAGAATAAACAAAGAACATCTGGAGATACACTGGAAGAAGAAGCCCAGGATAATATATCATCATATGTAGCTGATATTGAGGTGCCTATACACCTGAAAAGACCTACCCATCATCGAATAAATCTTTAGCTAGAGTTGAATTGCCGCAGCCAACATGAAGCACGTGGGGGCCCCCTTGCTGAGGTGAGTGGGGCCCCCCTGCTGCTTGAGGGGCCCCCTTAAGGAAGCCCAGGGCATCCAAAGCCTCTCTAAAATCTTTATAGTCCCCATACCATTCAAAAGGCCTTCCTTTTCTATCTAAGAAGAACCTATCCCAGTACTGGCTCTCTCTAAACTCTGCAAGGTTTGAGGGGAGACAGCACATTTTTTGTATATTTTCTTGCTTTATATTGTGATATTTATATTAAATAAATTAATTTTATATATAAATAATATTTATTATTTAATAAACAAACAATTTCAACTTCATATTATCAACTCTTCATACAATACACTCATTTATTAGGGGGCCCCCAATAGCTGCTGCCCGCTGAAGAGCTGCTGCTGCTGCTGCTGCTGCTGTATATCTGCGGTGTATATACACCTCAGAAAATGCAATAAAAGGTATAATTAAACCCTTTTCAGAAACTTCTTCTTATTTTTTATTCAAATTAATATATTAATTTATCATAATAATGCAATTAAAACAAAAAAATGCAATAAAGAATGAAGAATATACAAGACTGACTTACACAAAGAAGAGGGGCCCCTCGCTGCTGGGGGCCCCCCTGCCCCTTCCGAAGACTGAGTTTATAATTAGAAATGAAGATATATATAATTAATAATATTTAAATGCATATATTTAATCAAAGATATTCATAATAATTCTTTTAAGGAATATCTTCTTATACTTAGAGAGATCAAATTGGGAGGTGCCTGCAGCAGCAACAGCAGCAGCGCGAACAGCTGCAGCAGCAACAGCAGCAACAGCAGCAGCAAGAGGAACGGCAGCAGCAGCAGCAGCAGCAACACGTGCAACAACAGCAATAGCAACACCAGCAGCAGTAGAAACAACAGCAGCAACAGAAACAGGAGAGCTGCAGCAACTTTATTTTTTCTTTGTCTGTCCTTTTTTAATTGTTTTAGGGCTAATTACATCGCATGCATTATAAATTAGCATCATAATAATAATTCATTTCTCCTTTTTGAGGTGTATGTACACCTGAGCTTCATGTCCAATTAACTTGTCGTTCCCTCTGTCTCCACACCTTAAACCCCAGTTTAGGGTTTAGGGTTTAGGGTTTAGGGTTTAGAGTTCTTTCGCTTCTATTATTGCAGCTGCTGCTGCTTCGCCCCGCTGTCTTTGTTTGGGTCCTTAGGAGCCATTACAGATAAACAGCAAATGAATAGTAGCTTTGAGGGAAGTTCAGGGTTTAGGGTTTAGGGTTTAGGGTTTAGGCTGCTGGGTGTCAGTCCTTCTCTTACGAATTGCAGCACTTGCCGCTGCAGTTGCTGTTGCAGCGACTGCTGCTGCTGCTGCTACTACTGCTGCACCTGCTTCTGCTACTGCTGCTGCACTTGCTGCAGCAGCAGCAGCAGCACATGCTAAACCTCAGTTGCGGTTTGGCTTTGTGAATCTGTGGGGAGTGCATACTAAAACAAATAACTCGAAGAGTAGATGAAGCATTTAAACCCTCAAACCCTAGGGAGAGAGACAAACAAAAGGAGAGGCAAGCAGCAGCAGTTGTTGTTGTTTTGTTCAAACTAAAAAACAAAATAAATGCAAGCAAAAAATAGCCAAACCTCCTCTATTCTCAGGTGTATGTACACCCGAAATAGTTAGGGTGTATTGACACCATTTCAAACCCTAAACCCTAAATCCTAAACCTTAAACCCAAACCTTAAACCCTAAACCTTAAACCCTAAACCCTAAACTCTAAGCCCTAATTCATTTTTACGTAAGCCTAAAGCCTCCAGTCTGAACCCCCACCATGCGTGCTGAAGCCCTAAACCCTAAACCCTAAACCCTAGTAAACCCTGAAGGAGGAACGGTTTGCCTCCTCTTTCTCACGTACTGTAACTGACAGCACATTAACGCATGTATGCTAGCCCTCTAGCAAGCTGTGGCTAGCTACAGCTAGCTACAGCTAGCTGCTGCAGCTATCTATGCTATCTCCCTTTTAAATATCGTTGTTGTTTGTGGTGTACATCGCCTTTTATCGGCATTTGTTTTCTTTTCTTTTTGTGTTGCTTCGAAGACAGAAGGATGCAGCCGCCTTAACTCCTTTTACTAATATTTTGGGGTGTTCAGGTGTACATGCAGCTCAGCTAAAGCGTAGAAAACCCTTTAAAAGGAAAAGCAGCGCTTCAGCCTCCAGCAGCTGTATCGACCCTAAACCCTAAACCCTCAAACCTAAACCCTAAACACAAGATTGCTACGCAAAAGGCGGCATGCAGATGAAGTTCTTTTGAGTGCTTCTCTTGGGGGAAAAACGTATCATTCTGGTTGCTAAACCCTAAACCCTAAACCCTGAAATAAAGGAGATGCCAGAAGACAGTCGATCTAAGAAGGAAGGAAGGAAAGAAAACAAACAACATTGCAAGAAAAGAATCAGAGAGGAGGCTGCACGGTGTATATTCACCGATATATTATGGAGTGTATATGCAGATGCAGCGCATACAGCAGAAACGTAAGTTATTCCCTCTATCAGAGAAGGGGTGAAATAAATATATTTGTTGAGTTATTTTAAATAGAGAAGAAGAAAAACCAACAAAAACAAGAATAAATTCAAATGCATATTGAAGAAGAAGCAAAACAATGGAGGCAGCTGCTGCTTGCAACACCAATGGCTATCTACCTTCCTTGAGGCCCATTCCAGGTGTAAATACATCGTCTGAAGCCTCTAAACACAATAAAAAACAATAAAATAATGAAAAAAACATTAAAAATGCATAAAAACACAAATAGAAGGGCCGAAGGAGGTACGAAGGTCACTGGTCTATTTCGCGGTGTACAGACAGCTCAAAAATGCAAGAAGTAGGAGAATATATGATTAATGCATTGAAATGTCGGGAAAAAAGTATAAATTTTAACAAAAAAATATTAAAATAAATTAAATTATTCTATTTAAATCTATTTAAGAATATTTTCTAGCTGTTTATTACAGCCACTGCTGCTGCTACCCCCCCCTATAGCGGCGGTCGGGTGCTAACGCTGGCGCCGCAGCGCAGCACTCTGTTGATTATCAATTTCTTATTTACTTATTTGTTTGTTTGTTTGTTTGTTTGTTTGTTTGCTTGCTTGCTTGTTTGTTTGTTATGTTTAAGTGTTTTCAGGGCCCTAACTCAAACCATCGCCTACTAATTTGTCTGCTTACGGCCTCTTAGGCCTATTGCCTTGTTTGGAGTGTACGTACACCGCAGAAGCACTCACTTTATATACATACATATATATACATATATATGTCTATATATGTATATATATAGATATATATTGATATCTATGCAGATATATGTATATATAGGTTGATGTGCCTGTAAGGGTCCGGCATAATAAGACCTTATAGAATTTTTTGAGTTTTTACGTTTATATAAACAAATAAAATATATCTTTCTATTATTTTTTTCATATTATAATATCGGCAAAAGCAGCAGACATCCAATACACCCCAGTGCAATTTGTTTGAGTGTACGTACACCCCAAAATGGCGCCCCCATCGGTTTGCTTTATTTCTCTGTCTTGTTTTTTAATCGGTCCTTCTCTCCTGAGTGTTGCTGCGAGTGCTGCTCCCTGGGGAGGCAGCAGCAGCAGCGGCAGCGGGTTTGGTTCTAGTATACTGCAGCACACAGGGAGGAGCTCTTCTAACTCTCCAGCAGCAGCAGCAGCAGCAGCATTAAGCACAGATTTATTTAATGCAGGGTCTTGGTTTTCAGATTCTCTTTCTGCAGCAGGGCAGCAGCTAGCTGTACGCTCACCACCAATGTTTGGTTTAGGTGTAGCAGCAGATTCTAATCGATTATTAAGGCCTCAGGGCCCCCCTGAATTAATCGGTTCTCAAGTATCTGCAGCTGCCTGGCGGCCGCCTGTGCCTCTTCCTTCTGCTGCTGCTGCAGCTGCTGCTGCAGCTGCTGCAGCTGCTGCCCCTGTTGGGTCTACAGTGCAGCAGCAGCGTCAGCAGCCGCTGCAGGAGCGTGAGCTTGCTGCTGCTGTTGAAAAGATTAGCAAGAGCCTCAACAACGCTCCAGTGTATATACACCCCAGAGCTAGACTTGCTCTTTATACTCTTTCTTCTGCACTTCAAGATATACGTACAACAACTAACAAAACAAAAATGAGAGATGGAGACAGAGCAACCCTCTACCAACTCACCAATGCAGCCGCAAGAACCGTCGGAGAAGTCGAGGTACAAACCCTAAACCCTAAACCCTAAACCCTAAACCCTATCTACATCAAAATATAAACACCCTTATGCATGCAAACATATATATATATATATACATAAGTAAATAAATAAATATATATATACATAGATGAATATATAGATATGCAGATATCTACATATACAAATCTCTACACCTATAAACATAAAATACTTATATATATAAATATATGTAAATATAATATACGTTAATATAATATATATATATATATATATTTATATATCTTTGTTTGTTGTTTGTTTAGCGTTTTATTGAAGCTCAAGAGCATTTGCTGTTAATATTGGAGTCGCTGGCTAAGACGCTGCAGTCGCTGAAGGCCCCCTGGGAATACACTGCAAATGCACCCCTTGCTGCTGCAGCAAAAGATATGCAAGCTGCTGTCACTAGAGCAGCAGCAGCAGCAACAGCAACAGATGCCCCGCAGCAGCAGCAGCAGGAACAGCAGCAGCAGCAGCAAGAACAGCAGCAACAGCAAGAACAGGAAGTGCAGGAAGAACAGCCGCAGCAAGAGCAGCAGCAAGAACTGCAACAAGAGCAGCAGCTGCAGCAAGAGCAGCAGCGGGAACAGCAAGAGCAGCAGCAGCAGCACCAAGAGGAGCAACAGCAAGAGGAGCAGCACCAAGAAACCTCAACTTCTCTGAGAACGCCCTCTCCGACGGAAGCAGCAACGTCAGCAGCAGCAGCAGCAGCAGCAGCACAGAGCAGCAGCAGCAGTAGCAGTAGCAGCAGCAGCAGCAGCAGCAGCAGCACAGCAGCACCCGAAGAATCTGCAGCAGCAGCACCCATAGCTCCGTCATCATCACGAGAAGAGCATGAAGAGGCAGCAGCAGTGGCAGCAGCAGTAGCAGCAGAAGCAGCAGCAGCAGCAGCAGCAGAAGCAGCAGCAGCAGAAGCAGCAGCTAAGGAGGAGAGTGCAGATTCAGAAGAAGAAGCAGCAAACAGCGATTTTCAAGAAGAAGAGTTAGATGAGTCAGCAGCAACCCCACAGCTAGAGGGGACCATCGCTCCGCCTTCTTACCCTCCTAATGCAGCAGCGGCAGCAGCAGCAGCAGCAGCAGCAGCAGCAGCAGGAAACAGCACGCGAGCCCGCGCAAGACGAACAGGCCCCCCCCCTCCTTCTCCTCGTTCAATATCAAGCACAACATCAGCGTCTCCTGTGGTGCAGCAATGGCAGCAGCAGCAGCAGCAGCAACAGCAGCAGCAGCAGCCAGCATGGCGGCAGCAGCAGCAGCGGCAGATGGTGATAGAGGAGGCAGCAGCAATGTCTCGACTGCGCGCTTTGCTTCAAAGCAGCACTTATGCAGATCTACGAGCAGCTGTGGGGCCCCACGGGGGCCCGGTAAGTCTAAGAGAGGCAATGGCGTTTAAAGAGTTAGGCGAGAAGCTAAGAGCTAAGGGCTGGGGGGCTAATGAGATCCGAAGAACTGCTAAAAAGACTAATAGCTACACAGAAGCTTTTTATGCTGTAGCTAGAGAAGTAGGTCTCAGCAGAAATGCTGTCGACGCCATTGCACCCAGGATGCCAACCTTACTCAAGTAAGCTCCTACCTATCCACCTAGCTAGCTAGCTAGCTAGCTAGCTAGCTTGCTTGCTTGCTATCTAGAGGGCTATCTGGAGGGCTAGCTAGCTGGCTGGCTAGCTATCTAGACGGCTAACTGGATGACTAACTAGAGGACTCTGTTTAGCTAGCTAGCTAGCTAGCTAGCTAGCTAAACAGAGGGCTAGAGAGGGGATTGGGGGAAAGTGCGGCAAGGTAAAACGCTGCACTGACAGACGCTGCAAATGCTGCCGCACAGCACAGATGGCTAGCCAGCTAGCTAGCTAGCTAGCTGGATAGCTGGATAGCTAGCTGCATAGCTAGCTTGATAGCTGGCTAGCTAGCTAGCTAGCCATCAGATATACTTTTCAGGAGCCTGCCTTCACCCGCCCATCAGGAGGCGAGGCGGAGAAATCGGCAAAATTCGACTTTTGGGGTTTCGAATCATCGTACAATCCACGTGTTGAGGGTTTAGGGTTTAGGGTTTAGGGTTTAGGGTTTAGGGTTTAGAATTTAGGGTTTAGAATTTAGGGTTTAGGGTTTAACGCCGTAGTAAGAAAATCAAAATAAAGTTGCATTTATTATGGTGTTTATATATAGATGCATTCCTGCGAGGGTTTAGGGTTTACAGATAGACCTAGTGAAAGTGTAGGGTTTGGGGTTTAGGGTTTAGGGTTTTAGAAAGGCTTTACTTCTCCGATATTTTTATTGTTAAATGCATCTAATTAAAAACATTTTAATAAAATTGCAACTATATTTATTTCTTCTTCGCTTCGTCTTATATATTCGCCTGTGGGGCCCCTGGGGGCCCCCAGGGGGCCCCGGGGGCCCCCCTATATCTTGTTGCTGCTGCCGGGTTGTTTTCAATTGTTAATTTGTTAATATCAATAATTGATGAATTTATTTGAAAATATTAATCTTTAAAGCCTCTCAGTTAAACCCTAAACCCTAAACCCTAAACCCTGCTGGATGCAGGGTTTAGAAGCCCTTGACAACAACCTATAAACAGGGGGCCCCCTTGCTGCTATGACTTCAAACAGCAGCAGCAAACAACAGACATATGGGGCCCCTCAGGAGCCCCGTAAAAATACAAAAAAGCATCGGGGGCCCCCAGGGCCCCCTACTACCACAGAGGGGGCCCCCAAAGAGGGTTTTAAGGGGGCCCCCAAGGAGGGCTTAAGGGGGGCCCCCAAGAAGGGTTTTAAGGGGGCCCCGAAGGAGGATTTAAAGGGGGCCCCCAAGGAGGGTTTTAAGGGGGCCCCCAAGGAGGGTTTTAAGGGGGCGCCCAAGGAGGGTTTAAGGGGGGCCCCCAAAGAGGGTTTTAAGGGGGCCCCCAAAGAGGGTTTAAAGGGGGCCCCCAAGGAGGGTTTAAGGGGGGCCCCCAAGGAGGGTTTAAAGGGGGCCCCCAGCGAGACTGTCAGAAGTAATATAAATAGCAAAGGATATAAAGATAAAGAAGGGGCCCCCAAAAGGGTTTATAATGAAGAAGAGGAAGGGGGGCCCCTGTTAAAGAAGAAGAAAGTAGATGAGCCGCATCCCAGAAATAAACACAAACCCCACCCCAAGAGCAGCAACAGCAGCAGCAGCAGCAGCAACAGTAGCGGGAAGCTGCCCCAGTGGGTAGTTGCTGCTGTGAAGGCACAAGCAGAAGCTAAAGAAGCAGCAGCAGCAGCAGCAGCAGCACGAGCGTCTCTCCCCCCCCTACCACACCTGACTCTGGCCCTAGTAGCTGAAGCCACACAGCAGCAGCAGCAGCAGCAGCAGCAGCAGCAGCAGAAGCAGCAGCAGCAGCAGGAGAAGCAGCAGGGGAAGGGGAAGAAGAGTTTACTGGAGAGTAGAGAGGGGGGGCTCTCAGCAATAGAGAGGCTTGTTCTCAGCAGTCGGGGTGTACGTACAGCTGAAGATTTAAGCTCTCTAAAGCAGCTTCATTACTTAGATATATCAAACAACAAATTATCAGATATTTCTTTTCTCTCTTTTAATTTATCTCTGAGGCATTTAAAAGCTGCAAACAATCAAATACAAAACCTAACACAAACCCTAAACCACCTCACCAACCTCCGAGTCCTAGACCTCAGCGACAACCAGGCAAACCCTAAACCCTAAACCCTAAACCCTAAACCCTAACCCTTAAACCCTAAACTCGAGAAGCACAAACGGACGTAACTGAGCATCCTAGGAAGGCCCTGCTGTAACTTGTTGTAGAGGCCCTCAGCTTCAGGTTTAGGGTTTAGGGTTTAGGGTTTAGGGTTTAGGGTTTTGTGGTGCAGCTGACGATGATGGAGGGCTTTGACTGCCTTCCAAATCTAAAGGCCCTCATTTTGAGTGGAAATGAAATTCGTAAGACACCTAAACCCTAAACCCTAAACCCTAAACCCTAAACACTAAACCTTAAACCCTAAACCCTAAACACTAAACCTTAAACCCTAAACCCTAAACCATAGGTCTTAAGGGGAGCTCCACGCAGGAAAAAGAGCGACAAGGAAGATGCTTTAGGTTTTAGGGTTTAGGGTTTAGGGTTTAGGGTTTAGGGTTTTGTTTAACTCAATGAAGCCACACCGACAAGAGTTTGATCAGCAGAGAAGGAGGGAGAAGAAGACTGAGATAATAAAAACAAAACAACAATAATAATAATAATAATACTAATAATAATAATAATAACAAAACAATAAAAATAATAGAAATAAAAAGCGATAAAAATAAAAAATAAATAGAACAATAAAAGTATGCAGCAGCAATGCATGCAAAAGTATTATTTGGGTCTGTTATAAATATAGTAGAAATAAAAAGCGATAAAAATAAAAAATAAATAAAAACAATAAAAGTTTTTTTGTATTTGTTTGGGTCACTTAGGCCGAATTCCTTTTGGATGTTATTTGCTGCGAGTTGAGAGCCTTAGTGAGATTATTATATTTAATTGCTGTCTCCTTTTATTTATTTATCGTTTTTATTTATCTGTCTCTTTATATTTAATTTGCTTTCTTTTATTTATATTATTTCTCCTCTTACTTAACTGTCTCTTTTTCTTTATTTGTCTCCTTTTGTTTGTTTATGTGTCTCCTTTTATTTGTTTATTTGTCTCCTTTTCTTTATTTGTCTCCTTTTGTTTATTTATCTTTATTTATTTATTTATCTTTTCTAATTTAATTGCCTCCTCTTATTTGATTGTCTCTTTTTATTTAATTGTCTCCTTTTATTTGATTGTCTCCTTTTATTTATTTATCTCTTTTTATTTATTTATCTTTTTTATTTAATCGGCTTCTCTTATTTGATTGTCTCTTTTTATTTAACTGTCTCCTTTTATTTATTTATCTCCTTTTTATTTAACTGTCTTTTTTTTATTTAACTGTCTCCTTTTATTTAATTGTCTCCTTTTCTTTTATTGTCTCCTTTTCATATGGGTGAATATTATTTATTTATTTATTTATTTATTTATTTATTTATTTATTTATTTGTTTATTTATAAATAAATAAATATAATTATTATTGCATCATCCAATTTCTTTACTTTATTTTTTATTCATTTCTTTATTCATAAATAAATATAATTATAATGAGACATACATATATATAAGATATATATATATTATATATTAAATATATAAATATATATAAAGATATATATATTAAATAATATATAATATTGTTTGTTTTGTTTATTCTCAGTTTTGTCTCGCAACAAAATTTCTTCTTTCGCTTTTCCCCCTCAGCCTCTGCCTCATCTTAAGAAGCTGTCTTTGTCTGAAAACCAACTCAAGGTACTCACAAACCCTAAACCCTAAACCCTAAACCCTAAACCCTAAACCCTAAGCCCTTGCAACTGTCCAGTTGATTCCGCTATTAGGCGCTTCCTTCGTCAGTACTGCCCCAAGGCTCACGTTTCCTCTGGTTTAGCTAGCTAGCTAGCTAGCTATCTTATGAGGCGATTAGCTAGCTAGCTAGCTGGCTAGCTATCTAGCCAGTAGGAAGAGTCAGGAGTTGTAGAGACCCATAGTTGCGCTCGTAAACCTCGATCTGACTGGCTTGCTAGCTAGCCACCCACCCAGCTAGCTAGCTAGCTAGCTAGCCAGCCTTTTAGCTATCCACCTTCCCACCCAGCTAGCTATGTATCTAGCTATCTAGGTAGATAGCTATCTACCTAGATAGACGGCTATCTAAATAGCTAACTGGCTATCTAACTAGCTAGCTAGCTAGGCAGCTAGATATGCAGTTAGCTAGGTAGGCAGCTAGCTACCCAGCTAGCTAGCTAGCTAGCTAGCTAGCTAGAGTGTGTGTGTGTTTGTTTGTTTGTTTGTGTGTATTGACAGCACTTTCCTTTTAGCGACAGATTTCCCGCCTTGTCTGAGCTGCGACTCGCAAAAAACAAATTAATGAGTTTAAAAGACAGCATCACATGCATGCCTTCTCTGTCTATACTGGATTTAGGGCATAACCTCCTACCCAACCTCAAGCAAGAAACCCTAAACCCTAAACCCTAAGCCCTAAACCCTTAATCACCAGCTAAATGCCATGCAGGACGGCGAACAGAGCGCACCCTGATATGTAAACAAAACCTACACAATGATAGGGCAAACGCCTAGGGTTTAGGGTTTAGGGTTTAGGGTTTAGGGTTTGCGCAGGGCGGTGGAGGCTGTGGGACATCATTTAAAAATATCTCAGCTGAATTTCATCGGCAATCCTCTGATGGCGACGGAGAGCGTAAATAAAATTAATATTATTTTTGTCTATTCTTTTTTTTTGTTTTTGTTGCTGTGTCTCTGTCTCCTTTAGTCTGTAGTTGTTTATCTCTCCTTTACTTTCTTTATTTTGTTTTCTTGTCTCTGTCTCTCTGCTTTTATCTGCTTATGCTTTCGTTTGTTTTGTTTGTTTTGTTTGTCTGTGTTTATCTCCTTTGCTTCTTCTTTCTGTCTCCTTCACCGTTTGTCTCTCTTTGTCGTTTCTTTCTATTTCTGTCTCTGTCTGTCTCTGTTTGTCTTTGTCTGTCTCTGTTTGTCTGTCTCTCTTTGTCTTTGTCTGTCTCTGTTTGTTTCTTCTTTCTGTCTCTCTTTCTCTCTGTTTGTCTCTCTGTCTGTCGTTGTCTCCGTTTGTCTCTGTTTGCCTTTGAGTGTCTCTGTTTGTTTTGTTTGTCTCTGTTTGTGTCTGTTTGTCTCTCTCTCTCTCTCTGTTTCTTCTTTCTCTCTCTCGGTCTGACTCTGTCTCTGTCTGTCTCTGTCTGTCTCTCTCTGTCTCTGTCTCGCTCTCTGTCTCTCTCTGTCTCTCTTTGTCTTTGTCTGTCTCTCTTTGTCTTTATCTTATCTTTCTATTTTTCTATTTGTTTGTCTTCTTTGTTTTATCTTTTTTTTCTTTGTCTCTGTCTCTCTTTTTTTGTGTCTTTGTTTGTCTTCTCGATCTGTATCTGTTTAGTGTTTATTTTCAGGTGTATATGCAGCTTTGTTTATTGTTTATTTTTTTCTTCAGGAATCTCTTAAGACCTTTTGTATTTCTTCATTACCTTCATTAAAAATATATAATACAAAACCATTAACAGCTAAACCTCAAAGTAAACTGCAGACAATCTTAAAGAAAGTTGAGGGGGGCCTCGTTAATAATATTATAAAAGAAGATAATTTAGAGCAGAGTATAATAAATAAAAACAAAGACAAAAAAATTAAAGTAGAAAAGGATATAAAAGAAAAATATATCAAACAAAACAAACAAAACAAATATCACACAGATGAAGATACACCCCAAACACATGCAGAGAAAAAACATAAAACAAAAGTCATTGATAGTCAAGAAGCAAAAAGAGAGATGCAGCAGCAACAGCAGCAGCAGCAACAGCAGCAGCAGCAACAGCAGCAGCAACAACAGCAGCAACAGCAGCAGAAGCAGCAACAGCACCACAAAGAAACACCTACTGCAGCAGCCGACAGACCTAAAAAAGAAAAAAAGAGGAGACAGCAGCAGCAGGAGCAGCAGCAAGAGCAGGAGCAGCAGCAACAGCAGCAGCAGCAGGACGAAGTGGGTGGCGCTGCCTCTGAGAAGAAGAGCAGCAAAAAGAAAAGGAGAGAGCCTCAGCAAGACCCAGAGACTATGCCCCCTAGCAGCAGCAGCAGCAGCAGCAGCAACCAGAAGCAGCAGCAGCAGGAGCATGAGCACGAGCAGCAGCAGCAGGAGTCTGTGTTCATTCGCACTGATTTTTTAAGCAAGTTAAAAATTCTATCAGAGACAAAATCAGCTCAACTTTGGGAGGAAGATGCCCAGGAAACCTCTGCGTGGGAATAGCTAGCTAGCTAGCTAGCTGGCTAGCTAGCTAGCTGTATAGTTAGCTAGCTGTATAGTTAGCTAGCTAATTGGCTAACTAGCTAGTTGGATAGCTATATAGTTAGCTAGCTAATTGGCTAGCTAGCTAGTTGGCTAGCTATATAGTTAGCTAGCTAATCGGCTAACTGGCTAGTTAGTTAGCTAGCTAATTGGCTAACTAGCTATTTAGTTAGCTAGCTATTTAGTATAATAATAATAATAATAATATTATAATAATAGCAGAGGGGGTATACAAAGACAAGAAAGTAACCGCTGATATTATTTTTTATCTTTTTATTTGTTTGGCTTTCAGGGAAGTATATTATTAACGTTTCAATTTATGCTCGCATGCGTATATATACTACATATATATATATATATATATATATATATATATATATATATATATATAT